AACAATAAGTTACCATTTTGGTTGTTGGTGAGTTCCCACCAGGATTTACTCACCAAGTGTTTAGCCCTTTTAATCCATTTTTCCCTTCCTGGCATGGACTTCAGCAGGTTGTAAATGCTAGGCTCTATTTTTGACAGCTCTAGCTTATGGAGAAAAGAAGCAGACACCCAAGCTGCCTGGGTCCCTGACATAACTGCATGCTCTTTTTCTTCCAGATTCAACCCATCAGCCCAACAATGTCACAGCAGAAGCAGCAATCTTGGGAGCCTCCAAATGCTCCCAAATCCTCCCCTCCCCAGTGCCCAAACCCCTGCCTGGCTCCCTGCTCTGCCCCTTGTGGTACTCCCTGTTCAGGAGGCTGTCATTCCAGTTCCCAAAGGTCCAGGGCTCAGAACCCCACCTGCTCTAGGAGGGCTCGAAGAAAGCCTCGCTGCCTCAGAGGTGGCACAACCTACCACTGCAAAGAGGAGGAGTGTTAAGGCAATGGGCCTGAGGAGAGGGGGCACAAGGACGGGTGCTCTATCTCCCCACCCTGTCCGGTCCCTCTACTCGCTGAGACACACTTCCTGGCCCCCAGCACTGGAGAGGTGAAAAGGGCTGAGCTGCATGTGTGTTCTTCTCTTGCACGCACCCCTCAACTCAACAACAATAAAGCTGGAGCCCTGACTTCTCTGAGTCTGTGAGACCCCTGCTCACATGAGATAAGACCTCCTCAGGTGGACGCTGCTTCCCCTCCTCTCCTCCTAAGACAGCTGATGGTATTTTAAAGAGGCGGGTGTTTTAGGATTTGTGTTCTAGTTCTCAGCAGCCTCAAAGCCATCAATGTATGTCATTGCATGATACTAGCATTGAAGCCTGCAGTGCAATAAACAGCTGTTGAGCACCTACTGTGTACTGGCCTCTGTGTTTACAGACACAAGTAGCAGATTTATCCCTGCTCTAGAAAAGCTTATAGCCCAGTGGGAGAGGCAAAGTACACTCCAGATTGAAACGTGGGTTTACAAATATAATTTTAAACTGATTTACTTATTTTTACTTCTCAATCTGTGTTCAAAAGAACTTAAAGCAGG